AACTAATCTCATTCAAACAATATTGTTCATACTTCATCTTCACCTTTTTCTTTATCTAAGAGTTCAACAAAACAATAATGTTCAATAATTATTGTTTAATTATGGATACTTCTTGGGCGTACACCATTAAATCAACATACAGATAAACAAATAAAAAAAGGGAATAGTTAACAGTTCAAGTTGGATAATAAAGAGAAAAAGAGAAAAAAACTAAAAAAAAATTTTTTTTGTTTTTAATGAAATTTTTCAATGTTCAATAAGAATGAAAAAAATTTTTTGAGATGGTGGAGAAGATTTGTAACTCAGATAGGTGAATCCTTGATAAAATTTTGTTCTCTGATGTAGAAAAAAAAGAGAAAGAAAAGATGAAAAAGTCGAATTTAATGAGTTGAGAACTTCCATCTTTTGTTTGTTTTTTCTTCTTTTCTTTTCTCTTTTTTTCTCTTTTTATTTTTTTTGTTCTTCTTCTACTTCTTCCTTAAGACAAAGCAATCTCTATTTAATAATGTTGAATCTCATTAAGAAGTAACCGTTACGAAATAACAGTTTATCTATCTATCTATACGACCTTCATTTATTCAATTAATCTTGACCTAGTATAATGAATGATTCAAGTTGAGTATTATATTGTTGTTAAATTAAATAGAAAACACTTGATTATTGAATGAGAATAATAAGAATTATAATATCTTGTATTGTAGTGTTGTGCTTCGTTAATCGTTTACCTTAATAACGGTTATAATACAAATCTTAACGGTGCATAAAATCAGAAGGAAAAGAGGAGCGGGAACTACCGTTTAAATTGACAAATGACGCAGGTCATAAAGTTATAAGCACATGAACAAACAACAGTGAGCGAAGTATAAATGACACGCATTGGAGATGACGGGTAAGCCAACTCACTTTTATGAAGCGATTATCAATATTTATAGTTAGACATGTGATAAATAGGATAAGAAGTGTACACATATATACGCTCATATAAAAAACAGTCAGAGTTAATAAGTGAATAATTAACAAAGTCAAAATATGACTGAAGATGGATAGGTAAATTGGCTTGTCCCGAAGATATAATATGGTATATGGGCTTAATATAACAATCGATACTATAGTATGATGTATTTGAGAGTTTAAAATAATTCTGTTTTAGATCACTAGTAGATCAAAAAAGATCTGTTCAGTAGATACTTTAAGTCAGGAGCTGGAATTGATCAATAACTCACTGACAGAGATCGGCTACCCTAGTGCGTTCATTAAGAAGTATATGTATGATACAAGAAACAATTCTGAGATTTCAAATGCTTGAAAGAAACCTTTATACATGAAACTACAATTCAGCGGGGATTTGCCTAGTGATACTGTGAAAGAAAGGGTAACAAAAGTTATTAGTAGGACATTCTATGCAGCCAATCTTGCTTCGACTTTCTCGAGTTGACCAGCGATGTCTACTCATACGAAGGAAAAGTTACTTGAGTTGGCCTCCTCTATAGGCATTTACAAATTCAGCTGTTCTTTTGGAGATAGCTATATCGGACGTACTACTAGGCAACTTAACCAACGAATGAGTGAACATATACCAGCACTGTTTGCGAAGGGCCAGATAAAAACGATTCACAGTTCTATCTTGGCACATCTAATTAATAGTAGTCATAATTTAGATAAATCGAAATCACTTCTAGTGGTCGATCTTATACCTCCATCATTTCCCTACGGAGTTCGTTCTCATCTACTTCATATTACCTGAAGCCATAGGAGTTCTTACATTTTATCCAGATTTATGTGTACAGAAGAAATTTGTAGCCTTCCTATCCCTTCCATGGCCGGACATAACATATGACACTATTATTATTATTATTATTATTTTGCCCATGTTTGACCTTTTATTTCCAATGTTTATCTATTGATAAGACTATTGTTATCGTAACTTATTATTCTTACTACTATCAGTACACCTGTCTTCCCACAATCAACTTGTACTTTATTATGCTCGATGACGTATTCTATTTCATTGTGATAATATTTAGTCATTTTCTGTTGAGATATTGTTCATCCTGACCGGATTACATCGATAGTACACTGAAAGATAAGTTTTGTCAAAGTTAAATTTTGACTACTAGTAATCGAGTCCCGTGTGAAGAATCGCGGATGCTTATTGTTGTAAAGTTCCATACTAGAACTAAACGATCGTTCAGTGCTTGCAGGTTTTTAACAGTGGTCTAGTATAGAATTCAACAAATCTCAATACTGATAAGTCTAGAAAAATTGTTTCACTCTAGCTGGATAAATACTATGTATAAATTTAATGAATTGAATATTATCTTTTCCTCCCTACAAATTGGTTTATTTTGTGAGTATCTATGCACATTTATACTTTATAACTTGTAATTTCTATTTTCTTTTATCATTTAATGCCGGCTCAGTGGTCTAGAGGTTAAACGCTCGCGTGTGAGACTGATAGGACCTGGGTTCGAATCTCCTGAGGCGGGATCGTGGACGCGCACTGCTGAGGAGTCTCACACCATGATAAAAAGGGCCTTCTAGTGCTTCCAGGTTTTCCATGATGGTTTAGCTTCAATCGACTACTATAATATGTACAAAATTACTTCTGATATTATCAAACATATGCTCACTAGTGACTGGCTTCAAGAGGTATTTCTTGGAGTTCTAGTGAGAAGCAGTGACCAGTGCAGTTGAACCAGGTCTGTTGTTGTGCTTAACATAGTAACCGACACTACAAGTGGAAGAGAATCTGATTCTTCATATAAACTAAATCATTTGAAACTATCGATTCCATTATTGGTAACCATATGTCGCTTTATTATTCGAATAATTTTTCATTGTGGAAAGTTTATTATTTACCTTTGAAAAATTCCTGAAGTTGACATTTAATTCAACATTTTATTATTCGTAGATCTATGAATTAAATATCAACGATGAATGTACATATCCTAGTAAAATACTGATCAATTGCGGTCCTGAAAATCAATGAGAAGGTTCAAACAACCAATACTTAAATAATTACGCCTGTTACCCCTTGTGAGGAGCATAAGCTGCCCACCAGCACCAAACAATCAATATAAAATAACAATTAAAGTTCACCACATTACACGAGCTAGTGACTATCTTTATTCGACAGCCAAATGGATAACATGATGACTTTTGAAAATTCCATTGATAGCAATCATCCATCTCTACAAAGAATTTATCATTTGCATGATGATTTACATTACAGGATATATTGATTACATTATAGAGATTCTTATGATATCACCATGATCGTAAAACGTCATTACTGTTTACTGAAAACATGTCTTTTTTGTAATAAAAAAAAACTTGTTAAACTATTCACCAATGATTCTTTTCTTCTTAGAACTAATATGTATAGACAGTATTTCTAATGTTTGTTGTCCACCCCACCCCTCGTTTTATAGCTTTCATATGGAATATCGTAAGAAAATTTTATTATTCCATTTTATATTATGTAATCAATTGGTACTTGTATTTGGAAAAAAAATTAACTTCCCCGCCCCCCCCCCCAGTAAACCTGAAAAAAAACAACCACCGACAATCTTAGTTACTATGCAATAACCATAATTGTGAAATTTACACTTTATTACATCATCATCATCATCAGTAATAATTATCCACATTTTCATTTCTTTTTAAAATATGTAATATACAAAAGTATTTTAGTGGGTGTCCTTCATTTTTAAGTTAATTCGATTGGATGATATTGTCGACTAGTTCACCAGTTAGATTGTATGTATGATTGTCAAAATGTAGTTTGAAGAGAATGTATAGATTGATTTGTCCATTGAAATTATGGAAGTACTGAATGGTCGTTTCATTCTAGTATGGGACATCTCATCCACGATCTCACATGCATGACCTTCGGTCTCGCACGCGAACACTTAACCTTTTTACCAGTAAGCCGGAATTCAATGATGTTAATGTTTAACTTCAATCAACCCATGATTTTGCACAATCCTTCATTCATTGTCTTCGGTTGACAATTGTCTCACACTTGACACAGATTGGACTTCATTGATCATGGTTTCTCATTCAAATTTCAAATTTTCAATAATGATCTAATTTATATTGACTAGTGTATACAACTTTCAAAATACTACAATCTTCACAAATCCCTAAAATTAATAATTATCCTATTCTAACAAACTCCATCAAATATGATTTTAAATCTTTAAAGATTTTTCTTTGATTGATTAACTTTAAAATCCTGTAACGTCATATAGTGATTAACACATTTCATCTATCACACAAGCACTTATACATTTCAGTAGTATACTATTTCATTTTGAATTTATTTTGTAATTCTGAGCACGTCTAACAAATTCGTTGCTTTGATATAAATGCTTTAACGAAACGGCCGTCTTGGTGTAGTTCAAATATTGATTAGCACACTTAAACTATCTTTCTAGTACCAATGACCTTCAGCTAATAACTGACACAATAAATGTAAGAAAACAACCCAGAATAATACTAAATGACTATTGGTCCAGAATGTAGTTTCTCACTGTCACTAACTGGATAGATAGGATGGAGAACACACTCAACAAGCAGACATATGAATATGCACTTCAAATCTACGAATCAATCATATAAAAATATAGGACGATATATCAATAGAATCAAGAAATTACACCATAATAAAGTAGAACTGAATGATAGATCCGTAATAAATTGACAGTAACTTGGGTGGATAATGTTATGGCGTTTGAAGCGAAAGGTAATGGGTTTGAGTCAAATAGTGTATATCAACTCCGAGATGCAGGTACATTCAGCTGACGAGTCCTAGATTCCACAGCTAACCACTATTCAACTTTGCATACAATGATTGTGAATTTAGGCTATATCGAGGCAATGCGTACAGTATGCACATATGTCAATAAGGGATTGATCAATTGTAGTCATAAACATTAATGGGAAGATCCAAACAAACAATACCAAGTCAATTCAAGTAATTTTAAGTTTTCAATGTT